CTGTTTCGTTGTCTCTGCATAAAGATCGATATCTTCGTGGGGGTGATCGAATTGCACACATTTCTCATCCGAGATTCCTCCATTAGCCTAGGCTGCATTATGTCATAAGCTGACCTGACTATAAAAGCTCCATTGGAAGTATGATGCCAGAAGAACAAATCATCATCATCCTTAAAATCATGATAGAAATCAGCAAGAAAGGAAAAAATGTGAGCTGGAATTTTATCATGAATTTCACTCAGGAGTTGCGGCCTGTTGAGGAAGAATTCCTTGATACTCAGATTTGGGAGAGGAGGATCATCATGATGATCACCCCAAAGAACGCCATAGGGTGACCAATTATCGTACCAGAAGGAGCGATTTCCTCCTTGCACTATAACCTTGGTATGAAGTATTGCGCGCTGTTCAACCTTCATGATTTGCGTCCATGATGTTTTGCCCTTCACCAAATGAGATAAATAACTCAGAAACCAGCTCCATATACCCTTCTTTTGCTTCCATTTCCACGAGATTTTAACCTTCAAGGCATCAACAAATCCATGCAAACTACAGATATTGAGTCCATTTTCCAAAACTGGAAAAGTTAATCTCTCCCAGGACCACCAATGTTTCTTTTTCTCTTCATTAGCTCTGCGCCATAAGAATCTTTGACAAACATTTTCCATCTTTTGTATAATCACCTTTGGTGGCGGAATGGCAGAAAAAACATGTATTGGCATAGAAGCTAAAACATGTTTAATTAAAATGACGCGGCCACCTTGACTTAAGAGTTTATTTCTCCAACTCAAAAGCTTATTGTTCATGTTATCCAAAAGAAATTGATAGATAGAAGCGTTGCACCTTCCCTGGAACAACCAACATCCAAGGTAAACAAAAGGGAAACCACCTTTCTAAATACTTAAAGCGTTCTGGATGATTTCAACTCTTTGTGTAGGACAATTTTCAGCAACCATGAATGAACTTTTTTGTCAATTAATACGCTGGCCAGAAGCACATTCATAATCATGGAAAAAGGCATTAAGGATATGCAATGGTCTCTTCAAACCCCATGAGAAAATGGTAAGATCGTCCGCAAAGGCAAGGTGAGAAAAAATCATTGAACTTGAAGGAATACCATATGCAGCCACCTTCTCAGATTCAACTAAGACATTAACTCTTCTTGTCATGGCTTCCAAAACCAATAGGAACAATTATGGAGATAAAGGATCTACTTGCTTTATACCTCGAGAAGGCTGAAAAAAGCCAACAGGATCTCCATTTAGCATGATTGAAAACCAGCTATTGCGCAAAGTATTAATGATCAAGAGAACAAAAGCTTGCGGAAACCCAAATTTGTGTAATACTTTCTCTTAAAAACCCCATTTCACTCTATCAAATGCTTTCATCATGTCCAATTTTAGAACATAATTCCTCCCTCATACTTCCGGTTAAGAATTTTGCAAGGATCTTGGGCTACCAACACATTATCAAAGATGTCCCGCCCCTCCAAAAAGGCCAATTGCTCCTCCGATATAAGTTTCGACAAAACCCTTTTCAAGCTTTCAGTTAGTACTTTAGTGAAAACTTTGTTCAGAAAATTGCATAGACTTATGGGGTCTATAATCTGAAAAAGTATTTACCATAGCTTTCTTCGGGATAAGAGTTATCATAGTGCTTGAAATAGCTCTAGGTATAGGGATTCCAAGCAGAAATTCCTGATAAGCCAACCACAAATCATTTGCAACAATGTCCCAACAAGATCTATAGAACGTTCCTCCAAAGCCATCAATCCCTGGCACACTATCTTCATTCAAGTTAAAAACCGAATCCTTAATCTCCTCAATTGTAACTTGTTGTAACAACAAATCTTTGTCTTCAGAAACAAGGATCGAGGGAATATGGTCCAGAAATAACTCCTGCAAATCTTCTCCACTTCTTCATCATCATCTTCATTCAGAAGGTTTTCAAAAAACCTTATTGCCTCTTGATCAATTTGAGAACTAGAGGTTAGCATTCTTCCATCCTCTGCCTGGATTTTAAAAATGCTTTGCTTGATTCCCCTCTCCTTCAAGGTTGCATGAAAAAGACTATGTTCGCGTCCCCCTCTTTTAACCATTTGAGTTTCATCTTTTGCGACCAGAAATCTTCATACTCTTTAAGCCTTAGCAGCAAATTAGCCTTTGCTTCATTCAGGGAAATAGGTCATGGTCAGATCTTGATGCACCATGAATATCTTCACGACATTGCATGTTTGCCTCCGCCAATTTTTTATTCTCAAAAACATCTTCGAATACGCCCTTATCCCAATCTTTCAACTTCATTTTCAAGCTTGTGAGTTTCAAAGCAAAATGAAGCATTCCAGTTTGCTCCATTGGCTCATCCCAACACTTAACAATCCCCTTAAACTCTTCCCGACGTAACCACATTTTCTAGAACCTAAAAACCTTCGGCTTGCTTTCCCCTTGCGCAGCAAAAAGGTGTAACAATGAACATTGGTCAGAAGTGGTCCTACCTAAGTTTTCTATAGAAGAGCTAGGAAAGAAATCGTTCCATTCCTTGGAGATCAAAACCCTGTCAAGTTTTTTACTCACCCAACCTTGGTTTCTAGTGTCGCCCCATGTAAACTCTTCACGTGTCATTGGAAGCCCGAGAAGATCACATTCATATGTACAATCATTAAATTCAGACATAGCCGTATGATCCTGAACCAAGGCACCTTAATACTCTTCCGATGATCGAATAACATTGAAATCCCCAGCAACCATCCATGGAGAGTTCTCATATTTCTACCTAAATACAATTAAATTCCTCCATAATGTCTGTCGTGCCACTCTAGTAGTCTTAGCATACACCGCAGAAAGATAGAACTTTTCAGCAATGTTAACATGAGTTACCTCAAAGTGTAATACCTGATCATCTTCTTCCAGCATGGAGATTGAGAACTCTTGCTGACTAAAGACACAAATTTGGCTAGAGTTTGAAGAGAAGGCAGTATCAAAGTTCAGCTCCCTTCGAATACTTTCAAGCTGACCCAAGTCCAGCATAGGTTCTAAGATTATTGAAAAAGAAACCCTATACATTTCAATCAAAGTCTTCAACCGTCGCTGCGACGGTTGATTCTTTATTCCTCTTATGTTCCAAATTATTTGACTTAACATAGAAAAATATGATAAAAGTCCAAGAGCTTCTACTGCAGTCGCAACGACCGCCTTGGGATCAATCCCTCTTGCAGTTTTGCTAGTTCATCCTTTGATTTCCAAGCATGTTTCTTATGCACATAACCTTCCCCTTGCCCTGATCCTTGAACATATACGTTGTCAGAATCCCCATCGAACCAACTGCAGGGTTTACACTCCCCAACTTCAGTGCAACTTCTTGATCATCAACAATTTTCATAAGCATTATGTACTCCATTTTCATGCGGAGGATCTTGAACAAACACATCTTATACATATTCCTCCCCGTCTACATCAACAACTTCAATCAACACCTCCTCAATCGTATCCAGGGCTGGAAAGTGATTAGATGTCGCCGTACTAGCGATTACCTCAGATGAAACATCAACAGTGATTGCATTTTTTTTTCCTTCTCCGACTCCATAGGTAGATTCCTACACCTGCACGCCTAAGGTTTTCGCAACTGGAGTTTGCCCGCCTAGGGTTTCCGCAACAGGAGCTTCCGCACCTAGGGTTTCCATAATTAGGGTTTCCGCAACTTGGTCTAGTGATGGTTGCGGCTCTACTGCTCTAACAATTAGAAGCTGTGAGTGTAAAACTTCAACCTCAAGGTTAGATTCTTCTGCTCCTTTCTTCGTTTTCCAATTCAGCTTTAGTGGCTGGATCTTGATACCTTTCTTCTTAGTTATCAGAGCCACATCTTTTCAGAGTTGTTCATCGGCGGACGAGGCTTCCCATGTTGACATTCTCTTGCCTTGTGGCCAATTTTACAACACTTGGAGCAATATGATGGGACATGTTCATAAGTAAAAACCTGCTCATGTTTCCTTTTTCTCTTGCCAATCTTAACCAACTCTGGGAGGTTTTTCATTAGATCAACTTCTACACAAAACCGCGCAATCGACGGTCTTGTCATTCAAAGTTGGGGTGTCAACCTTCAAAGGTTGTCCTATTGTTGTTGCCATCAAATATATGACCTCCGGGTGCATGTACTCTATTGCCAAATCAAACAATGACACCCAAATGGGAACCATTGGCGGATCTTCCTCGAAATGAAAACATGGTTTCCATTTCAAAATTCTCATCGAATAGCCTGCTATATTCCAATAATCCGAATCCAACACCTTTGATAGTCTTCTTCTTGTTCAAACCGGATTGAGACATGTCTAGGGTTCATGAGGCCCAAGGTGTAGGTTCCATTCAATCCAATCTTCTTAAATTCCTTATGAATGTCCTCCATTTTTGGTCAACCATAAGAGAATTTCCCGATTAAACTTAATCGGTGAGGGGCTACAAGTCTGTCAAATTCATCATCCTCAAACTCCAATGTTGGACTGCCATTGATGAACTCAACTTGCTTGATTAACGAACTCTTATCCTTCTCAATGCCGGATGGCTTTTGAAAGAAGCTCGCACCGGCGGGTGGTCCCTGGCCATTATGACCGAGAAGCAGCCTTGAGCCGTCAATTCTAGGGTTTCGCTAGAGAGAATAAAGGGTATTTTGGGAAGAGAAAAAAGGGTATTTTTACTTGAGAAAAGGGTTCTTTTTCCCTTTAACATATATTTGCCAAACAGACTCAAAATCCATATCTAGACTTAGCAATCTCTAATTGATTTCAATGGTGGTGGAAGTGCTGGGACTAGACTTTTATATCCGGGGATGGGTTGGATTTCATTTTATAGAGATTTTTTTCTTGTATATATTTAGCTTGTTTTTATTTATAATAGATAAATTTTTCTTGTTAGTAAAAATGGTTTTAATCAACTATAATTTCTCTCTCTCTCTCTCTAAACCCTAGCTGCTGACTACCAAAAATTTTTGATCACGGCCGCCGCCTCCCCTTGATGGTAGGTGATCGGAATGTGGATGTCCCCACTGGAACTCCACAATCCTTTGCATCTTTATTTCATAAACCACTGGAGTCAAAATTTGTGGGTAACCATCAATACAAGCAAGTCAAGTTCATCAATGGGGGGCAGTGCTAAAATTGAAAAATGATGAATATGAAAAGCTAATAGCGCCACATCGTTTAAGCCTTGTTGGAAAATTTTTCCTATGGCTGGCCTAAGCTAGAGGAGGTGCGATCAGAATTACGTAAAGTAGGATTTTATGGAGGCTTTGAAATAGGACTCATGAACGCTAAGATTTGATCATCATGGACTATTCAAGGTTACCAAATGAGGATCCTCAAGTGGCAGCCCGAGTTTAAGTTTGAGGAGGATCCTCCAGTGGTACATTTGGGTATCATTGAAAGAGCTACCAATATAATTTTTGAATCCAGAGACTCTATTCTACATTGCTACAGTGACTAGAAAACCATTTCAAGTAGACACTCCGACGTTGAATTTGACACGGCTGTCTGTTGCCCGATTCTGCGTTGAAGCGAACTTGACAAAGGAACTGCCGAAATCCATTAAGATTGGCAAAAGAGGAAAGAAGCATGAACAATCATTGACCTATGAGTATGTCCCGTCCTTTTGCTCCAAATGCAAAAAGATTGGTCACAAAAAAGAAGAATGCCGCCAAGGAAAAGTGGTTCAAGCTGCGCAAGTGGTGAGAAACCCTAGACAAGAAACAAAAGATGCGAAAGGTAAAGGGATTCTGATTAAACAGCCTCCACAATGGAAATTAAAGCCATCTAATACAGTGGAATCTAAAGAATCAAAAGGAGTTTATGTCCGAGGAAATCCCAATTCGTCGGGGTTAATAGTTGCGGAGAAAACCCTAATTCCGGTTGATGCTATAAATGATTCTAGGCCTGCGGCAGAAGTGCATGGTAATGATGAGATGCATCGTGTGGAAGTGCCTGTGAAAGAAAATCAGATAGAGGATAATGTGTCCTTAGCAGAGCAAAAAACTCTACAGCAAGAGGATCCTACTACAAACAATAAATTCCAAACCTTGGCAGAAATTGTGATGGTTGAAGATGCCAGTGATTGTGAGGATGAAAGGGAAGAACCTAAGCAACCTGTTGATGAAGCAATTCAAAAAGAAAATGTGTCGCCTGAAAAAGATCCGCATCAAGAAAGATCTCTGACACAACGATCGGATCGAATAGTTCACTACGCGTCTGATGAAGAACATGGTGCTAACAAAAGTGAATTATTTGAGGAAGAGGAAGCTGCAGGGGGTGCTGGTCAGAAGGGGAGATGGAGGATCCACAGTTGGGAGATTTGAGCCAAGGATCTGTCACCGTTAAGAGGAAAAGGGGCAGGAAATCCAAGAAGGAAAGGTTGAAAATGACGGAGGGTCTTGTGCCCCGCCGCTCAGCTCAATTGCAATAAATGGTTTTGTGTTAATTCTAAATATTTTTCAATGATGAAGCAATTAATTTGGAAAATTAGGGGTGTTAAAAATAAAGCGGCTCAGCTGCGTTTGAAGTCTCTAATTCAAACGTATTCTGTGTCTTTTTTGATCATTCTTGAACCCATGCTAGAAGGTTATCAAATTGAAGAAGTGCGGCGGCTTCAGAACTTTGATTATGCTTGTTCATACTCTTCGAGCAAAATCTGGATTTTCTTCAAAGATGGCTTCGTCTTAACTCTGCTGATGGATAAGGGACATGTTCTTCACTTTGAGGCTAAGGATCCGAATGTAGATCACTCTTTCTATGTTTCTGCAGTTTATGCGAAGTCGAGTAGAATTGAAAGGCAACAATTATGGGCTGATTTGAAGGCTTTTCATGATGATCATAATGGAAGTATGTGGATGGTCGGTGGAGACTTTAATGCTATTAGAAGTCTTTAAGAGTATTCTGGCAATGCACTACAAAGTCGGGGCTCACTTGATGATTTTAATGCATGCATATGTGGTGGATGGATTTGTGTAGTGTCGTTGATTCACTTTCCAAAAGAATAATTTATAAACCTTCTTAAAACTATTAGCTTGTGGTAAGTAGGGTCGTTCCATAGGGACGGCAATCAACCGCTTAAAATCTGATTAAAGTACAGAAAAAGAAAGAAAACAGTTGAACAGATTGTCACTTGGGAGAGTGCGAATAGTCACTTGACAAAGTGATGAGGCAGAAGGGTCAATCACCTTCCTACCTTTATGATCCAGCTTTGATTCAAGTATTCCTGTAGTGACTGATTAGTTGTTCAATCAAGCACTTATGTATCTTTATAATTCCTTCCAGACAGAATAAAGAGCCCTAGATTATCAACCCAGTCAGAGTGTTCTTTAATCTAAGTCATTGAGTTCTTAAGCCCTTTATGATTGCCTATGTCATTCACCTAACTTCCGTCGATGTCTTGAACCACAGGGTAGATTTCCTCCATTGTCATAGACTAGATTAAGCAGTTCTAAGATTATGCTTCACCTTCCAGATCTTCATAATGATGTAAGCACAATTAATTAACTGACCAAGTTAATTAAAAATTTAATTAAATCACTTATCTAAGCACAACACCTAATCAAAGAAACTGAATCAAAATCGTCACATAAAGATAGTAGGGATTGAACCCTTAACTGAGTTAGCTACTCATGCTTATGGAGTTAAATATGAGAGCGACCAAGTACAAAAGATAAGACATAACTCTAAATCAAAAGGTTAGAGGAACGAAAGGGAAGAAGATAGCAGAGACAATTTCTGTTTGTTCACTATGGCGAGTGGCGTTCGCCACTTGACAGAGTGACAGTCTGCCTTATTCCTGCTACTACCCTGTTTCTAACCAACTAACTAACTACCTAACTACTGTCTTTTGGACTAAATCTAACTACCCAATCTGTTGTTTTTCTAACTGCCATTGGCTGACTATTTATAGAGATTTGGAGAGGATTGGATTGGTGGAATTCTGGCCTTCTGTTCAAGAAAGCAGAGGAGACAGCAAGTTGCAGCAGCCAAAGGCATTTGTTCATACAGCAACTTCCCAATTTGCAAGTTGTTGCCTTCTCTTGGTAGCATCTTCCTTCTTCAGCCGCAATCAACCATCTTCTACTCATCATTGCTGCTTCTCTTTAGTCTTCTTCTCCGGCGCCTTCTCAACATTTGAAGCCACAAATCTCCATTTCTTCATTCTTTATTGCTTAGCAGAGCTACTAGCAGCAGTAGCAAGCAGCAGCATCAGCAGCATGCTTCCTTCCATCATTGTGTCTTCATCTCCCAATTCAGCCTGAATCTTTTTCCCTTTTCTTCCTTGTTTCCTGGGTCACTTGCTATGCCATTTATTACCTTACTGCAGTAGCCAATCCATCAACTTAGCAGCAGTAGTCACAGTAGGTAAGTAGCAGAGTTGTAGCTGCTGCCTATCACATATTCTCCCTCTTTCTCTTATTCAACTTGCAGCTGCTACAACTTGCAGTGATAGCAAAGCAATTTCCTTCCTTGGGCACAAAGATTTCAGCTTGTGACTCCTCTTTGATTGATAGCAGAACTAGCTACTACAGCAGCAATCAGGTATCAGGGCAACTGCCCTTCTTCCTCTCAATTGAGTGTGCTGCTGCAGATTCTTCCAAGTTGTGATCATTTGTTGTCATTCTTCCTTCCTTAGTAAGGATTTCTCCACTTGCTCCAGCTCTGATCAGTCCTTCAGCAGCTCAATTTCCAGCAGCTTCCATTCCAGTCCATTTTGATGCCTTTTTGTGCAATTTGGACCTCATTTATTCTGGTTTTCCACATTGGCCCTCTGGGATACCTGAACTGCAAAATCACCTCAAAAGTAAACTAATCCTAACTAATTGGCACTAAATTATGAGTAGAAATGAGTAAGAAATGCCTGAAAAAAGGGTATATATTTTTCTATTACCAATATATGACTGTAATATCTAAGAAGTTCAGAGTGTTGGAGAAGAGTTCACTTGGGGAGGAACAAGGCAAAACGGCTGGGTTTGTAAAAAGCTTAATCGAATCTTGTTCTTAGCAGAATGGCTCGAGTATTTTTCTGTCACCTTAGTTCTAAACTTGCATCTAACTCCCTCTGACCACTACCCAATGCTGTTCATTTTTGGAGTGCCTTCAGACACTAAACCAAAACAGTTTTGGTTTAAAAAAATGTAGTTCAGGGAGCAAAATCTTATGACAGTTGTGAGCGATTCTTGGAATCAGCCAATCAATGGTTATGGTATGCAAACTATTTCGGGGAAGATGAGAAGGTTAAAAGCTGCTTTGGAAGAGTGGAATACAAATTCTTTTGGTAATGTATTGATAACCTTAAAACGGCTGAAGAAGAGGTCAGCTAGCTTCCTGGAAACTCAGTATGATTGCTCTAAGAGTGATGAGTACAGAACTAAGCTTCAAGCTGCAAAGGCTCACTACATTCTAAAGTTAAAAGAACGGGATGACTTTTGGAGGCAAAAAATGAAGCTAAAGTGGCTTAAAGAGGGAGATGCTAACACAAGTTTCTTCCATGCTTCTCTAACTAAGAGGAAGACAAGACTTGCAATCAATAAAATACAATCGGAAATGGTTCATGGTTGGATAAGAGAGATTAGATCGAAGGGGAAGCGGTGAATTTTTATCGTAATCTTCTCACTTGTGAACAAGTTGGGGGTAGTGATCAAGCACAAGGAGTTTTGATACAACATATACCTTCACTACTCATGGAAGAAGATCGTTTGAATCTATTACTCCCGTTGGAATTAGAAGAAGTTAAAGCAACAATATACGATTTGGACCCCGATAGTGCTCCAGGGCCTGATGGTTTTGGTGGGGAATTTTATCGTAGATGCTAGAATATAATCTCAATGGATTTGTTTTCCACATGAAGGGAATATATGGCTGGAGTTCCATTGTCGCGAGCTGTTGGAAGTACCTTCATCACGTTGATCCGAAAGAAAAATGTAACCACTACGTTTGCTGATTTTAGGCCCATAAGCCTATGTAATTTTTGAATGAGGTTTTCACCAACATCTTAATAGAAAGAATGAAGAAATGCTTGGAGAAATTGATATCAGAAGAGCAATCGTCTTTCCTTTCGGGCCGGGATATAATTAACAATGTTTTGCTGGTTCAAGACTTGTATCAATTTTTGAAGCATAAGGCGGAAGGTGATAATGTAATCATCAAAATGGATATGATGAAGGCTGTTCTACTGGCTTTTGGCTTCCCTCCAGTGTTTGTGGAATTGATAATGAACAACTTGACTGGAAGTTGGTTTTCGGTGTTGATTAATGGCTCGCCGACGGGATTCTTTCAATCATCCAGAGGGTTGAAACAAGGCGATCCGATGTCCCCCTATTTATTAATCCTAGTGTTAGAGGTTTTATCAAGAAGGCTAAATTTCCTTATACATGAAGGAAGGATTGTGCGTTTGGAATGCCAGTTGTTCTTCTCCGCCATCACATTTGTCTTTCGCTGATGACCTTAGAGTTTTTACTAGGGATCTGAAAAGATCGTTGCGAGTTCCCAACAAGTTCTTCTCGGACTATGAAGCTGCAAGGGGTCAGAAAATAAATAGGAAAAAAATTTTCTTCATGGTTTCGTTGAAATGTAAGTCTCAGCGAGTTGAAATTATAAGGAATGCTCTAAGTATGGACAAAAGCTCTTTTTCGTTTGTTTACTTGGGTTGCAGACTGTTTGAAGGACCAAGGAAAATGTTGCCACTTTCAGCACCTGTTGGATTCTTTTGAAAAGAAGCTTTCCAGTTGGAAGAATAAATTCAAGTCGCAAGCTGGAAGATTACTTCTTATTAAGCATGATTTGGCAGCAATCCCAATTCATACAATCGCAGCTATACCTCCCCCAAAAAACATTATAGCGGAGTTAGAGGCAAAGTGTCAAAGGTTTTTATGGGGGAGCTCAAATGAAGAAAAAAGGCGACATTGGAGAGCATGGGAGAAAATTACCTATCCTTTGGCAGAAAATGGTTTGGGACTAAGGAGATTTAGGGATGTTATTGATGCTTTTTCTACCAACCTTTGGTGGGAAAATGCAAAAAACGCTTGCTTGTGGGTTAGATTTATTGCTTCTCTATCACAAACGGTGAAGGAAAAAACAATGTGGAAAAGAGTCCTAAGCATAAGATGCCGGGCAGCAACTCATTCCAAAATACTTGCGCGAAGGGGGAATAGCTCTTTTTGGTTCTCAAACTGGTCTAATTTTGGAGTTTTATGGGATATTCAGAATCATGATCCCCCAATGCCGGGTTTAACAATAAGGCAATTCTTCCAACACAGGCAACGTTATGGTGTTGAGCTGTATGATCACCTTTCAAATCATGTTGTGGAGGTGGTGCTACAAA